TATATATATATATATATATATATAGGTGTGTGTGTATGTGTTTGTTTGTTTTTTTTTTTGCACAAGCGCACATGTAAAAGAGAGAGGGAGAGAGAAGAGAAAAAAGCAGTAAAGAAAGAGAGAAATAAAAAAATATTTATCAAATTATTTGATGTGTACCATTTGAGGAAGAAAAGAGAAAACAAATTATGTAAATCCTAAGCTAAAATATTCCAAAATAATAGTTTTTTTTTTTTTATTAAAATTTGTATTTTGTTATTAAAGATAGACCTTGGCAGAGCAGCACCTCAAACGTGGTTTAAGAATTTTCAATTTGGAATTTTGAAGCTGGAATATTTAATTTTATCGTAATTTTATTTTGCCAATGTGGTATTTTGTTGCTTAAAAAAAACGTTGCTCGAAATCGAACCTCGAATTTGTCTATAGAATTCTGTTGCTTTTAAACTGATTTTAACTTATTCAAGGCAAAAAAAGTACGACATTACGAATATTTATTTAAGAACAATTTACTGTGTGAGACTGGCTAGACAACTAGAGATTATTTACATAGTTATAAAAGGTCACAAATAAATGTGGTATTTATTTTCGATTTTTTTTTCTGAATATATATAAATATATATATATTTTTTTGTAAAGTGCAGGTGCAGCTTTGTGTGCATTGTGGTAAGAGGATAGAACGGAGCTGGGAAGGGAAGGTAAAAAATCATCAATATTGATTTAGGAGATAGACAGACAGAAAGAGAAAGCTAGAGTGACAGAGAGAAAGAGAGATAGATTGAGAGAGGAGGAACAGGAGGGAGTGTGCGGTGCAAAAATATATATAGTATGAGTGCTTGTAGGCATAAAAAAGTACGAGTAAACGCAATAATAAAGCCGCTGATCCTATAAATTAAAATTAAGAAACAAGCCCAGAAACCTTACGAAACCAGAACCAAAACTCAAAATATACAATGCATCAAGTAAATGTAGTCAACCGACACCAGCAAAATATGACAAAAAGTTAGACCGAAAACGAAACACGTAAGATAAAGAATACTAAACACAAATGATAAATTCAATAAGAGAGATCCATGGCTTGCCAAGGACTGAATACCCTTGCAGTGAAATATGAAATGTGACTAAGAGAGAGCGAAAGAGAGAGAGAGAGAGAGAGAGCCAGGGAGACAGAGCTATGTGAATCCCATTCTAAAGTTTTATCTCTTAAACTATCATTGGCTGTTTCCAAGCCAAAAAGTCAAGGGAAATCATCTTATCGGAGCTCCCAAATTATATTTTTGGTCCACTGAATAGACAGGCAAGCAGACGGACATAAAAATTTAAGGGGCTCATTTTATTTTTGAATAACGGTTTCTCGAGACTTTTAGTGAAAAGTTTGAAAAGAGAAATAAAATAAAATAATATAAGATCTATTAACATTAATCTCTTATATATCATTTTCAGTGCTACAGTTCTCGAAATTTTCATCGCATATGTCTGTGACTAGAACAAAGTTCAACTATACCAAATGTCGGACAGCTAGCTAAGCTCTCGGCCAAGTTCGTATAGTCCACTGCAAGGCTATATCTAACTGCAGGTTAATCAACGAAATAAAAAGAAATATGTTACAAGTTTGTTTTGATTTTTTTTT